TGCTTTCTGCGTGGATGTGTGGTGGTGACATCCTGTGTGGCTCTTGTGAGTGTGGGTCTGGTGTCATTCCTCATGATAGGAACTCGTTTGTCAATAAGGGCGGGTTTCCAAATGGCTGGTAGGCGGGAGGTATCATCTCTTTTGTTCCAGCTGTGCAGGAAGAAGGAGCCAATTGTCACAAATTAGTAGCTGTCGTGTTTTTAAACGTTCTTCATGGCTGATGGGGCTATAAAGTAAAGGGTTTGTATTGAATCTGATCAGAGGACATATTTGGAGGGAGACCATAGCACACCACACCAGTGAGGGGGTGCTAAGATATTTGACAATGAATAGCCAGAGCAGTGAAGGGTTGGACAGCGAGTAACGGCCCACAGTTATAACCAATCAGCTGAAGAGAAATGGCCACTGCATGAGAGAATCTGAGCTGTCATTGGTTGCTGTGAGGGTAAAGGGGGAGTTTTCTTGTTTCCCGCCATTTTCCCATGCAGTCTGTGATTTACCTCAGGATGTTCCTGTCCTGTTGATTTACCTGATGATGCTTCTGTTTGTCTCCTGAAAATATATTTATTTACATAAAACTGCCAATTTGTATCAATGTCTCTGACTCCATTTGGACACCAGCTGCGCAATTCCCTGACAAATCTGATCAAAGGAAATATTTGGCTGGAGACCATATCACACCACACCAGTCCTCACTATTAATCTTCCCCTGCAAAGGCTCTTCACTGCCAATTCACAACCTGCCCACCTCACAGTTCATTCCACACAGGAACATGTCACCTGAACAGGTGTATCCCTTAAGTAACCCAGCTAAAAATGAAAAGCTTCCCACCCAAAGCACCAACTGAGCTCTGCCCTCAAGAAGCCAATGCTACAGATACAGAGATGAGGGTTGCTTAGAATGTCTTTTGAGCATCAACTGCATCTCGTCTTTTGAGATGGGGAAACCCAAAAGGCTAAAGGAACTGGCAGATGTTGTGGTCCACGAGAACCAGCTGTGCAACCTCTTCCGTATTCACAATAGCCCCATAGTTTGTGACAAGGGATGGATGAGGACAGCATATGTGGCAGAAGAACCAATACCTCTGTTCCCATCTGGACACCAATATCAGACACTTGTATTAATAATAATGCACTTGCATTATTCAGGTAAAACTAAAAAGTATATTGGCATCATTTTTGAAGCCTTTTACCCAATATCTGGAGTACAGACTAGATAAAATAGATTTTACAGGTGGATTGAAACACAAAGCAGTTTAAGGACAAAGTTCTCCAAATTTTAAATAAAGATATTGACTGGAATTAATGACATATTGGCAAAAGTTCTGCCTTAAGAGTAGGATTTTTTCATTACTTGTAGTTGTAGGTCAGGGTGGAAAGGTGAACCTCAAATTAGCCAGCTACATTCCTACCCCAGGATTTAGATACCTGATTGGAATATAAGATCCAAGATATAAACCCATAGAGAAATTGCTATCTCTTCTCCAGAAATCTACCTTTGGACCTAGAAGTGGGGGCTGCACCCCTCTTGCTTCCTTGACCTGCATCTGCAGGTACACACTTTGGATGGAAAGGAGGCAACAGACCTGGATAACAAACAGACTTTGTTTTAAAAAAATATGCAAAGGGACTTTCTCCTGAGCAGGCACAGACAGGATTTTATTAGGTTTCCATTTTCAATTCAAGCTCAAAACTTCTTTTGTTTAGAATCATTTAATATTTTTAAAGTAGGCGGGAAAATTTAGCCCAAACCATCACATGCTTTTTAGAAAACCTTCTTGCTGAGGTGGTATTTGGAAAGGTAATTGTGTAAGTTTCATGAAATGAAAAAGGAAGGTGAAAAAGGAGCTCAACCTGGCCACCCTAAATCAACACCAACACTGTCCTCCCACCCTCCAAAACAGACAGACGAATAGATGGGAATGCTTTATCCTGGCTGTCCTTGTTTAGTGATCACAGATGGGACTAGCAGCTCGGTCTTTAAGCGAACCAGCCACTAAGTGGAAGTTGACTTGTATGAAGTAGTTCTCCATTGCCTCCTAAAAAACAATCCCTTAGAAGCAGCAAAGGTGAAAGAAACATGACAATGATTTGGTGAACACAATTTTAGTTGCCCTTAAAGACAAATAAACAAAGCATAACCATTTCAGATTATAATGTGGAAGCCTCTTGTAATTATTCTGCAGGAAACCAATTGCTACCTAAGACGCCAATCCATGCAGTCTTTGAAGGAAAGCCTTCCAAAGTCATTTTCATAGCTATGAGGATATACTAGTGAAAATAGCATATACTGTGAGGATATATTAGTGTTTGTGTGTGTCTCTATAGGTAATTTATGTGCAACTCTTGTGTGGTCTCACGCTTGGGCAACTAATCCAGGACTCTGGCAAGATACACCCAAGCTAATAAGATCCTTTCATAATCTTTTATGTTCATGAGGAACAGAAGGAACAGTTGAATAGGACGTAAAAAAGAGACTGTCAGTAGCCGTGTCCCAGTGATGATTCTGCTCAGTTGCCACTGAATGCTGCAAGGACTTCAGCAGAATAGTAGGGCTGGTGTGGTGCCTGTTGGGGAGGAACGTGAGGAGGAAATACTCATCCCTCCTACAAGCTGAGGTCTACGACAATATGCTTGTAAACCAGTGTGTTCCCCTTGAAGCTGGGGGCTAAGAGGACACTCATGGCCTCCAAAGGGATGGACTGGAAAGCCCGTGGAGCTTGGACAGAGAGTTCCTGGAACTTCACAAATTTTTGCTTGTCTTCATCCCAAAGGTAGATGTGGGTAAAGGATAGTCACTACCCAAAACCATATAAAGTTGACTAAGATATCTGGAAAGGTCCAATCACCATGGAGCTTTGAGAGGGCACGGTCTGCACCTCTGTGAATCGCAGCCCTTCCCACCTGACCACCTTGGAGTCTCCAATGTAACGGCTCAGGCATAAGTAGTTGTCTCTCTTCATCTGGAAATGCTTGACCATCTGGACATCCAGCACTTCTGCGACGTCCCCCCAGTGAGCAAACTGCTTCTGGGAGCGATTCCACTGGTAGATGATCGGGGCCTGGGAGCTGCTGGAAATGATCAGCCGGGATTTCCCATCCACCTCTAGGTACTCCACGTCCGTGTCCCGATGCCATGAGTGCAGGTCCTGGTGGGGATAGAAGCCATTCTGGTTCCAGCGATAGAGGCTGGTGGAGCCTGCCTTGGAGCTGTCGGCAATGACGAAGAACCATTCGCCGTCAATCTGGAAAGCCTCAATGTCATTGGGCTTCCGGATCTTCTGGCTGTCTATATCTTGGATCTTAATGAACTTGTCAATGTTGGTGTCCCAGCGGTAAATATAAGAGCCTCCAAAAAGCTGAGCCACCACAACGTACAGCTGGGATTCTACCACGATTGGTTTGCAGTAAACAGCAGAGTGAGCTGCAAGAGAGAAACGAGAGAAAAAGCATTGTTACTGTGACATTGTGCGGCTTGTGTGTTGTGGCCTCTCAGCTGCCACCCCATCCAGTAGCAAAATCAGAGGAGGAGGAGGAGGCATGGGCTCTGAGAGCTCCGAGGGGAAACAGCGAGTGGAGCTGTCAGAGAGAGGGGGGGGAGGGAGAGAGAGAGACAGGCGGAGCCTGGGCCATCCGTCAGCCCTCAGATGGAGAGACAACAGCCCCCAGGTTTGGAGGTGGCTGATGAGGAAGAGAAGGAACAGCTGGGTCCAGTGCCTGGCATGCGGCTCGCAGAAGGCAGAGGAGAGGAGAGCAATGAGAATCTATGGGCCAGACCTTGGGATGGAAGAGCCACCGCTGCTAGCGAAACCCCACCCTACCTCTGGGGATAAAAGACACAGGGTGGTGATGAATAGATTTGGCAGACAACTATTCATCTTCCGGACAGAGGGATTTGTTAGCCTGTGGTGAGATGGAAACTTTTTGCCGGGGCTGCCAGCACTTCCATTAAAGGAATCTTTGAATTAACTTTGCCATGTTTGGGGAGCTGGGTCAGAACATTGTGGTTGTCATTTATGTCTATGGGGTTTTTTTGTGATCTTCTTGTTTAATATTGTTGAGATAGGCAGCCATAAAAGTATTTTTTTATGAAGTCTGCAGGGTTTTGATAGCTTTTTGACAGCCCAGGGTAAGCTTGGTCCCTTAAAGATTTCTCATTCCAGACTGCAAATGGTTCGTCTTTAGTTTGCTTTCCAGGCACACCAGGGTGAATGATGTCCCCTTTTGACCTGCAGGTGTGGCTTACCAGGGATGCGGTCAAAATCCCGCAGTTTGCGCTCAACGTAGTCCCACTTCAGGATGGTGCAGCTGCTGGAACTTGGCTGAGCCAGAGCCACATAGAGATCACTGGAGTACATGAATGGCTCAGCAGACACAGACTGGAAAGGCAGCACCTGATGCACCACGAAATCTGGGAGAGAGTGGAAACAATCGTGTTTAGGGGGTCCTTGGAGGAATTTACATTCGAGATACCAGAACCACAAAATACACTTTCCAGTCAAGGATCTTCTCCATGCAGGAGCATTTGCTATAGATGTTTTTAAAACATTTGCCAATTTTTAATATGCAGTCATTTCCTTCCTTTTTGCTTATTAAATATATGATGACTTTTGCCCAATTACAAGGGTTGCAATTTATGTGGTTTTACAATAAATCAACACAACAAATATTTTAAAAAGACTTCATCAAAGCTATTTATTATTTCAGACTGAAAAATATTTTTTCTTGGTAAACGTTAGTGCCTTTTAACGATAGTGCCAGAAAAGCTTCTTTAAATATCACATAATGACAATTTCAAAATAAGATAATGTCCTATATTTGAACACAATTTGGCCTTGATGTACTATATTTGACGTATCAGCCGATCACAAAGTGAACTTTGGCACCTGCAGCTCCTTTACATATGCAATCTTCTTTTTTTAGAAATTCTTGCAGCCTCACTGAAAATGTGTCAAATAACATCAATAGTACTTTTAAAGTTAACTAACGCAAATCTTGTAATTTTACAAATAAATCCACCCCTACGCCTGTGACACTTCTGGAAATAGGAAATATTAGCACCAGCGACTTCTCATCTTACTAGATAACCTTTATAAATACAATTCAATACAATGCAATACAATAGCAGAGTTGGAAGGGACCTTGGAGGTCTTCTAGTCCAACCCCCTGCCTAGGCAGGAAACCCTATACCATTTCAGACAAATGGCTATCCAACATCTTCTTAAAGACTTTCAGTGTTGATGCATTCACAACTTCTGGAGGCAAGTTGTTCCACTGGTTAATTGTTCTCACTGTCAGGAAATTTCTCCAAAGTTCTAAGTTGCTTTTCTCCTTGATGAGTTGCCACCCATTGCTTCTTGTTCTACCCTCAGGTGCCTTGGAGAATAGTTTGATTCCCTCTTTTTTGTGGCAACCACAGATATTGGAACACTGCTATCGTGTCTCCCCTAGTCCTTCTTTCTATTAAACTAGACATACCCAGTTCCTGCAACCGTTCTTCATATGTTTTAGTCTCCAGTCCCCTAATCATCTTTGTTGCTCGTCTCTGCACTCTTTCTAGAGTCTCCACATCTTTCCTACATCATGGTGACCAAAACTGAATGCCATATTCCAAGTGTGGCCTTACTAAGGCATTATAAAGTGGCATTAACCTTCACGTGATCTTGATTCTATCCCTCTGTTTATGCAGTCTAGAACTGTGTTGGCTTTTTTGGCAGCTGCCACACACGGCTGGCTCCTATTTAAATGGTTGTCCACTAGGACTCCAAGATCGCTCTCACAGTTACTAATATTGAGCAAGGTACCACCTATATTGTACCTGTGCATGGAAATCCAAATGTTTGGAAGTTGTCAAGGGAATTTAGGCAACTTCATGCTAAGCCCCAGAAGCACCTGGAGAACATGTATGTCAATTTGATCAATCAAACGTTGACCTAATTTATGAGTTCTGATGCCGTTTCTTAGACAGTTGCGCAAAGACACCCATTCCTACCTGTGGTGATACAGTCGAAGTTCTTTAGAGGAAGCTCTCTGATCTTCTGGCCTTGGTACTGAGGAGGACCACCACAGAAAATGGCAGGTATGCTTGCGTTGGTGTTCTCCATCCATTCCACCAGCCATTTGATCTTGCAATCACAAGTCAAAGAATTGCCCCGAAGGTCTCTGTGGGGATGGAAAATGTGGGGACTGTCATTGAACTCCTCCAGTCTCAGTTCTTATGACAAGGTCTTGAAGTCCTCAAAGAAAGAGGTGTGGAAAGCAAGTGTGGAGATGGAGGTCAGTTCTCTCATGGAAGAACTACAAATGTAAATTCAGTTCTAGCATCTTTCTTTCTGGTGTGAGGCCTTCAAACCACATACTTTACTGAATTAACCCATTTGCTGCCCTTGTGTATGGAACCACAAACCTTTCATTGTTTGCAGAGTGGGTACAAGCTGAACCACATGCACAACAGGAAAATGTTACAGCCTCAAAAAAGTTAGGATGATTCCTAATAATGTAATCAGCAGAAGATGAGGACAAAAATTTTTGTGCCATCCATAACATAGTCCAATACCGTCCTTTTTTTTTAATGGAATGTTTTACGTTACACCAATTAAGGTTTGGAGCATCCTGTTACATATCTGAAAAGTCTCTACTCCTAGCCATTGAACTCAAGTGTTTTCTGCCCCTATTCCCTGCTCATGTGCCCTCCAAGGAAATTGGAATTCAGCTCGCATTGTCTGACTTCCAATTTATTATACTTTTAATTGTTACAGAATGGGCTAAGGAAGTGTGCAAGTTATATCTTTAAAAATCTGGAATACCCTCCACCCATGTGTGTGTGTGTGTGTGTGTGTGTGTGTGTGTGTGTGTGTGTGT